GTGTGTGTGTGTGTGTGTGTGTGTGTGTGTGTGTGTGTGTGTGTGTGTGTGTATGTGTGTGTGTGTTCGTTAGTTCGCGGTTTGCTTATTTGCCTGACTGTCTGTCGTATCTATTGGCATGGTCTACTACTGTACTCACAGCGTCAGCATTCTTTTCGTAGTAATACAGATATCTGTTGAGTATCTCGATAAATAGTTGTACTTGGACAGTCGAGTCCATGCACTGGTTGGCGATACGAACTGCTTTCTTTAGACATTCCATGACACGTTTACCATCACGACACTACAAGAAATATGAATGGCTAAGTATTTGTATATCATAGGGACGAAACGATAAAGAAAACAATGCTACACAGCTATGAAGGAAAGCCCCCTTCCAGTCCTAAAGCACTGAAAAAGAATAATATATTACAGAAATAGGTAATTCCACTTAGTGTAACAAAATAAATTGGCGCGAAGTCAGGTGATAAAGTCCGCCCTGCAAGCTGGATCGTAACACCGTTGTGTGACAAATTGCATGATTTTGACATGTACTTGCTACAAAGGCAAGTAACAATAAAATGTTTTTGAACCCTGAAACAACCTCCAAGCCGATCAACGTCAGGGCATGGCTAACTCACAAATCGAATTGTAATCTAGTTCGTTGAAACTTCCTCTCTTACCTCACCATCCTCGATATCTTTACTCTTTCCTGACCAGAACAGGTGCGAACAGACCCCAACAGCACGACACTGGTCTGGTTTCTTGAGGAGTTTCGAGGCAGCCAACGCGCACTGTGTACGAAGAGGTTCATGGTTCTCTTCCCCAAAACAGCTCATTTGTTCAAATGTACAGATGATGAGGGTAATGGCTGCCAGCTGGGCTTTGGAATCACTGATTTCATCTTCGTATATTGAAAACGCCTACACAACAAAACCACGAATCATTGGAATTTAAAATATTCTTAATGATGTTGCGTGACAAATAAATTTTTAATGAACAGTATTTGACAAGAATTATTGTGACTGAAAAACTACACTGATGGAAGTTTCATATAGTTGAATGCTATATAAATCTCCTTTGACCAAAGCCATTGCGTGAATGAAAATCTGGATGGTGTTTGATTCATGTAATGATTGTGTGACTGTCATACAAAAAATGTTACGTTACTGAAGTGCCTGTCGTAAGATCCACCAAAAAACGGTAACGCGCTACCCGTTATCACCTAGCTGATTCTTTAGACAAGAGCAACGCATAATGAGGGAACGAAATATAATGTGCCAAAAGAGAGCTAATAGACCTCCTCGGCTCTGGAGCGCTCAAGCGTAATGTTGTCCCATTTCAGACCACGTGTCATTCCCTTGAGAATTATCTATTTATTATTTATTTATTTATTTACATAAATTTATTCATGACAATTATCTAATTTCCAAAGCTATATTGGAAGGGGTAAGCACAACAGAGCTTGGCTCCAAATTAAGTGCACCCTAACAAAAATTTAAATCATAAAAATCGAGTGAAGGTTTACCAATTATATATTATTATTATTACTATTATTATTATTATTATTATATATTCTTTGTTTGAGTTGTATCCATATTCATGTGTCTTCTCATGTGCAACCGAGCGCAAGCCTTAAACAAAGAAATGATACTCTAGGGAATGACACGTGGTCTGAAAGGGGAAAACGTTACGTCAGAGCCGCGGAGGTCTATTAATATTTCTCATGTTACGTGACTTGCGTGACGGTCCTACGTTCTTTGGAATTTTAAGTATTAAAGAAAGTTGCGTGACGGATAAACATAAACTACTTAAAGACAATGAGTTGTCATTTTGATGTTACAGTTGGATACGTACTGTGTACGTGCTGTGCTGCAAGTCAATGCTGTATGTTTCCCACTGATACGAAAACCACTTTAAAATTCCAAAGTACGCACAAGCCAAGTTTATTACTTACTTGGCTTATAAATTCATAAGCAACTGTCTCAGAATTAGAGAACCCCACACGACCAGCAGCCATGGCTCCCTGGAGGAAGAGTCTGAGGGGCAGCTCAGCATACTCGGCTTTAGCCAATGCACATATCGTTTGATGACAGAACTGGAAAATCTTTTGACATTTTTTGTCCCATTTATCGTCCTAGGTACGAAAATATTAAAATAAATGTAAGACGAGATTTTCTCCCATTCTGTCTTCTACTTTCCCATTTCAGACCTTTCAGAAAATTGCTCTTTTTTATTTAATGTTAATACTTCTTCAATTTTCTGACGCTGTTTAAATGTTAGAACTGGTAACATCAGGAATGCAGGTATCACGGAGTTAGGGGGCTGAGCCGCTTTAGCCCCACCAATAATTTTGCTGCCATTTATTATTGATTCGCTTATTTTCTATTTGATATAAAATTCAGTGTTCAAAAGAGATTTGTGAAATGTTAGCCACCCCAATCCAAAACTCACTCTGCGGTCCCTGGTATGGTAATACTACTTCTAGGCTTAACTCTTGTTGTTTTTTGTGCGTGTTTGTTTGTCCCAAGGGTAAAGGAAATTACTTGAACTTAGTACCACATGGATTATTTAGGATTTTTTTGGCTCTTTCTTGGTGTTGCAAGGCACCTGAGGCATGAAGTCAATAAACTGAATAGCCAATAATAATGAATTTGGAGTTAATACTGCATTAATGTTATCCCTACACCAAAGTTGTTCTACATTCTTGTGGGTGGTGTCTTTGATACTGACCTCATCTTTAGCATCATAATACTGGAATGCTAGCTGATAAGCACTGAACACAATAGGTGGTAGCGTGTACTTGATTCTCTTCTCCCCTCCACTGCCAAAGTGCTTCCTTGCGGTAGTTAGGATCTGGTCAAAGAATAACATATTAATACAAAGACAACATAGCCAATCAGGGTGACATAACAGCAGTACACTGGCCTCTCACATGCAGGGTCCCAGGTTTGAAATTAGCAGTGAAAATTTGTTACTTGACCCAAATAGATCTAAAAGTTAGCCATGCCCCAACTTTGATCATCTCAAAGGTAGTTTTAGGGTTTGATCTGAGAGTTAACCAAGCTCTGACTTATACCAGCCCAGAGGTTGTTTTAGGGTTTTATCTGTGAGTTAGCCATGCCCTGACTTTTTGATCATCTTAGAGGTTGTTTCAACCAAACGTTCAATTCATGAGTTAGCCATGCCCTAACTTAGATCAGCCCAAAGGTTGTTTCAGGGTTCAATCTGTGAGTTAGCCGTGCCCCGACTTAAATCAATCCAGAGATTGTTTTTCATGGTTTGCTCTGTGAGTTAGCCATACTCTGACTTAGATCAGCCCAGAGATTGTTTCAGGGTTCAATCTGTGAGTTAGCCGTGCCATGACTAAGATCAATCCAGAGGTTGTTTCTTATGGTTTGACCTGTCAGTTATCCATGCCCTGACTTAGATCAGCCCATAAGTTATTACAGGGTTGCATCTGCTACCATGCCCTGATTGCATTGACCAACCCAGAGGCTGCTTCAGGGTTTGATCAAATTTGAAGGTTTGAAATACCCATGATGAGTGATACAAGTAATGAGCATACTATACCAGGTATTGTTGGTCAGGRCTGTTGGCCTTCATCAGGGTGATAAACTTGCCCATTAGATTCTGTTCTTCTGCAAAGTCTTCTGGGTCGTCCTGACAATACAACACAGTACACTGATATTAGAGCCAGTRGTATAGGCTTTGTTTGGAATGTAGATGTATTATACCAGTGACAAAATTATAGTCAGCACTGTATCTTTATACTTATCTTCACTATCAACRCTATCATAGTTATGATCACCATCATGACCATCATTACTATCATTATCATCAATACTGTCAACACTATCACCATCAACACTATCACCACCAACATTAACATCAGCACTATCATCACCATCAACACTATTATTAGAATGATAATAATAATAATTATTATTATTATTATTATTAACATCATCACAACAACACTATCACCACCAACATTAACATCAACACTATCATCAAAATCATTAACACTATCATCATAATTAACAACAACACTCTCAACATCATTATCACTATCATTATCATAACCAATGTCAAACTATAATCACCATCATTAACACTATCATCATCATAATCAATGCCAAACTATAATCAACATCATTAACACTATCATCATCATAAT